AATACCAAAAACAATGTCCAGACGTTCAACGAAACCAAATGCAATATTTAATTATACAACTACATATACATATATATTTTACAATTTATTTATATACATATGTATACGTCATAGGTTATATTGACATATGCTACATCATTTTTTGCATAAGCCAACAAAATTGTTTGTTACATTTTTTCCCTTTCCAAGAAGCTCACACAAACAACAAACAAAATATGTATATATGTATGCACATATTAACAAATATATATGTGTATATATGCATAAAATACAAACCAAGTTGCGCCAAAAACAAAAACATTTATATACATTTATCAAGGGTCAAACTAAAATTTATAAACCAAAAAATTTAGTAATTAAAATTGTAAGCAAAGACCAAGCAAGAAACACAAAATGTAAAAGAATAGTTCGGAGAAAAATACTGAAACTAATTTTTGAAATAAAATCATTGAACAGTTACGAAATGAACAAATATACATACATAGAATGGAAAACAATTTATATAGTCACATTTTAAGAACACCAAATCAATTTAATAATAATAAAAATAGAAATAGGCATCTTGCATGTATGTATGTATATATGTATGTGTATACTAGATGACTCCTTCAATGGCAAGCAAAAATCCAGTTCGTATGAGCAATGCTCAAAATGCGTTGAGTGACGTTGAGGCGAAGCCGAACAGCTATTCAGTGAAAGAGTGTGCTCGCATGAGACGCGAGCGCTCAATATTGAAGCGAAATAAAACGATCGCATGAGTGTGAAAGAGACGCGAGTTCGCCACGACGCGTCGTGCTCGTGCACTGCGTAACACGAAGCTTATGTGTGTGTGTTTGACTCAAGGGCTTAAGGCTTTGCCAAACTTTAAATTCCCTTTTATGCATTATTAACGCAAGAGAGTGAACTTTGTGAGAGCGAACACGCGCTCAAGCACTGAAAGCCACTCAATTGTGAGCGGAACTATACAGCCATCTAATATACACATACGTACATACATATACACATGTACACTACATATATAATAGTATTATGTGGTTTTCCTAATATTTTAAAAGTACTTTTTTTTTTAAATACAATTAACAAAGTGTTGAGTACATTAGAAGCGTGCGAATAATATTTTTACAACAATTTGAGGAGTTTTTAAACAAAGAGAGGAATTTTTGAATGAAAGGTAAAGTTCAACAACTTTTATTAATATAATTAAAAATATTTAAAAAGTAATTTATGAAAATGAAATTCATAACGCTTCCGACAATAAGCTTTGGCCACACTAATGTTTAATAATAAAAACAAATATATATATAAAAAAAAAAAAAAAAAACTTAAGGACAAATTTATTTACGTTTTACAAGCAATTTTTTGCGTTCAAAATGATGAAGATGAAGAAATTACAGTATGTACGATTATCCGATTTATATATATATATTATATATATATACATATGTAGTTACCATACATGTGCTATTTACTATACTCATATTTATGAAGAGTTGTATTCAAAAATAAAAAAAAAACAAACAAAAAAAAACATAAAACGATTGATAAAAATTTTGAAAAGTATAAAACAAAAGATCAATACTAAAGCAAATGTATTTTCATGACCCGCATTTGAAGCGAACATATCAAAACAAAATTATAGCATAACGAAAATTAAATAATAATAATAATAATATATAAAAAATACCAAAAGAAAAACAAAACCTATTTCAATTGCAGTATCAAAGAAAAACTGATGACAATTGACAGTTGATTGTTTAGCACTAGAAAGAACTTACAAAATTAATAAATAATAATAATAAATAAAAAAATAAACAATTTGAAGTTGAACAAACAGTAGCGAGCAATAGCAAGTATGTGTGTACTTATATATGAGAAAAATATTTCCCTATACAAAAAAACAAAAATATATAGTATATATATATACTATATACATAATGCTACAAAAAGTTTGAAAGTTTTTTTTAGCTGTTTCATCAATTAATATTAAAAAACCAAAAAATATTTACAAACATGATGTGAGGAAAAACATGCAATTAAATAAAAAAAAAAATTATAAAAATAAAAAAAAAAAAAAAAAAAAAAAAAAAAAAAAACAAACGAAACGAAAAACTGAAACCTAAAAATTAAGCATAAATATTTTTTGCTGTGTCTTAGTCCATGTGTCGTAACGAATTTATTGAACTTAATATACATAAACATAAAAACTAAAAAAAAAAAATAAAAATAAAATGCATTCAAGGATTTTACAGTTTTTTTGTTTTTTTTTTTTAATATAAGCAAAAAACAGTCAACAAAAAAAAAAAAGGAAAAACATTTCTACAAAATTAAGCACAAATTTTTTCAACTACGAAATTGCCTTTTACTTGTATTTTATTTTTTACTACTTACTAAAAAAAAAGATATATATATATATATATTTAAATATATATAAAAGAATAATGTTTAATGGAAAAAACTACGCTGAATTCATTTGAATGTTTTGCAAAATTGCGCCTACCAAAATAAAAATAATAATAAAAAAACTGTGACTAATATAAACTAAAAACAAACAACAAACCAAAAAGAGAAGAACTCCAAAAACAATTAGTATGCAAAGAAAAAAATCTATACACAAAAAATGAAAAGAAAGTAAAATTTAACTTTTAAAAAAACTTTGCGATAATTGCAAGATTTAACTTAGGCCAAAAAAAAAAAAAACAAAAACAAAAAAAAATATATATATATATAAAAAAATGTGGCTAGAAACTATCTATACAAAGATGTATACAAAGACACACACACACATACAGACAGTAAAAATTGAACTAGTTAGATAACGGTACATACATTCTACATATGTACACTGAGCTAAACCAGGGCACATAGCCAGCACACACACACATACATACACAGATCACAAACATTACATACACACACATGCATATTTAACAAATTTTGTGTATATATACAAATACACATATATTGAGGCTATATAGAGGCTATATACATACATATATATATACACACATATATATACATGTGTATACTAGTAGGAACAGTTTATATACATTAGCATTATGCAACAACTTTTATTAATACATACATATATATATACTTGGATATTTGATGAAAGCAAAAAAAAAAAAAAAAAAAAAATGAAAACAAACAAAACCCCCACAAAAAAAAAAAAAAAAAAAAAAAAAAAGCAATTTACTTAAATAAAAAAGTTTCTTTCAAATAATTCGCAATTGGAAAAACAAAGCAAGAAAAGAAAAGAAAACTAAACCAAGAAACGAGCAAGAAAACAAGGAAAATTACAAAAAATAAAATAAAAATAAAAAAACAAAACAAAAACAATATATATACACTTATTTAAATATTTAATACAAAATATATAAAGTAAAAATAAAAGGATTTATATGTACATATATATACATATAAATCTATATATGTATACATATATTTATATAAAATACTTATATATATATATATATATATATATATATATATATATATATATATATATATATATATATATATATATATATATATATATATATATGCATATATATATACCACTACATAGTTTAAATGTTTATTTATTGTATTTCAACAAAAAGAAATAATTCAATAAAAATAAAAACAAACCAAAAAAAAGAAAAAAAAAAAACAAAAGAGATTTGTGTTTTTTTGGACTATTCCTTCTGCATATTATAGACCATTTATTATATATTATATTGATTGAGTCTAAAAGTCTGCCTATATTTAGGCTTTCTTTCGTATTTCTCAACGGTAAAAATATCTAATCGCAATTTTTTGTTTGTAATCCGTCAAATTTTGCAAACACATATAATCGAATCTAATTCCAGCGGCAATTACGGATCGTAAAGCTCTCGAGGGCCTTTGATAACGCCAAATATGAACGGTCAATTTCATTTAGTAAATAATTATTTAATGCCCCATTCAATAACAATCAATTGTTGTACGATTTACATATGTATATGGATGACACTAATATGTATGTATATATACGAGGAACCATCTTGATTATATAGTAATCATCTATTTATACTTATAATAATATGGACATATATATAGTGTCGTTTTTATGTATTAGTTCGATATGATTTGGATATCGTCTTAGATATCGATAGATAAATATTTTCCTGTACAGATAGCTACAATATACGGTAGAATTCGGTTATAACTCCGGATATAGCGTCTGTACAGTGACAGCGATGAAAATTCTGATTCTCAGACAAACTGTTATGAGCAAACTTATACGGTTATAGCATCTTCCGGGTACAACGACTGTCCCTTGAATGTCGTTATAACCGGATTCTACTGTATATTAATAAATTTAACTTCATTGTCTTGCTTATAGTAATCCTCTTATTCCTAATCTATATTAGTCAGTTGGATTTAGGTATTGTATTATTTTAATAAATTTATTTAAATTTATTATTCACAAAACTAATTTAATGTTTTTTTGTTTGTTTAATTTTTTCAAAATAATCCCTATCAATCCATAGAGCACAAATATTCTATTTAAAAATATTGTTCAGCTTTTCTTTCGATATGCTGTCTTCAGTGAGTCAATTATCCACTATTCTAGAGTCGCGTTATTTATTTCATGGACTTCTTCAATTTCAGATGATAGAAAATCTTTCCAGAACTAGAGAGTATTACAGCAATTGGAACAATTCTATTTTTACATTCTCGACATTTTAAAACAAATTTTCAAATATAAATTTAATTTGTTTTGAGCAAGTTTGAGTTTGGAGTTTTCTGATTAGAATAGAGAGCTCATAAATGGGTAAATAATATAACAAATTCAAAATTTGTATATTCGCAATAGTCTGCAATAATGCCGATCAATGAACTAGTTGGTTATAGCACGACGGTCGTAAAAGTATTTGATTTATGATCAATAGCTAACGATTTACAATCAAACGGTATCAGAGCCGTAGCATTGCGTCTCGATAAGGATTTGGTATAAATACCAAGGCAGAGCCGGGCAGTAGTCAAGTTAAAGCTAAAAATCAATATGAAGCTCATCATTTCGAGTGTTGTGTGCCTCTGCCTGTGCCTGGCCAGCGTTGGGCACGCCCAGCCCGCGTCGATGCCAGCGGCACTGGACGCCCAGCTGCTGACCATCGTGGACGAGATGACGCAGATTGGCGAGAATGCGGCCAAGGTTTTGATCCATCAGTACGAGGAGATTGTCGTCGAGCCGCACGAGCAGCTGGATCAGGCTGTCGAGCAGGTGGAGTCGCGTCGCGTCGAGAGTCCCGATTGTGTGGCCGAGCAGGATGCTCAGATTAACAGCGTGCTGGATGCTGCGCACCAGGAGCTGCACGAGTGCGGCCTGAGCGCCGCCCGCGAGTCCGCCGAGATTGTCAGCGATGTGAACGCGGCCACGCAGCAGTTGGTCTTCGGCGGCTACTCGCTGGGTCGCACCTACAACAAGTGCCAGAGCTACAAGAACGTGGTGCTGCGTCAGTCCTGCATGGCCAAGTTCTATGTGCAGGCCACCGTCTATCTGGTCAGCGCCCGCTCCTCCCTGAAAACCATCACGCAGAGCACCAACGAGCGCATCCCCGCCGTGCTCACCCACAGCAACTCCTGCACCCATGATGCCTCCGGCAAGGCTGTCGGAGCCCTGGAGGCGGTCACTGGTGACATCGATGTCTGCATTGCCAAGGCTGGTCGTCGCTAATTCGATTGGTTCAATTTTACAATAAAAAAAATGATGTTTAGTGTATCGATAAATATCGATTTGAATGGGAATAGAGTTATCGTTGATGTGATGTTTAAATTGTCAATAAATATTGATTTGAATGGGAATGGAGTTATCGTTGAGAAGATGGTTAGAGTATTCATAGTTATCGATATGTATGAAGCTTATATTGAGCCACTGACCAGAGAACAGTGATTGAGCTTGAAGCTTATATACTGATTTAGATATGAATGAAGTTAACGTTGGGATGAATGGAGCTATCGTTGAGATGATGTTTAGATTACAGATAAATATCGATTTAGGAGTGTGAATAGAGTCATCGTTGTGAGGATGTGTAGAGTAACCAAAGATACCGCTACATATCAATTTTGATATAAATGGAGTTTATATTGAGAATATATTTGGGGAATATATTTAGTATTGATAAGTATTGATATCGATATGAATTAAGTTAACGTTGAGATAATCGATAAATATTGATTTGACTGTGAATAGAACTATCGCTCAAATGAAGTTTGGATTGTCGATAAATATTGATTTGAATGTGGAGTGGAATGGAGTTATCGTTGAGATGATGTGTAGAGTATTCATAGACATTGGGACATACATATGTATCCATTGGGATATATTGAGAATGTGTTCAGAGTATTGATAAATATCGGTTTCGATGTGAATGATGTTAACGCTGATATAATCTGAAGATAATCGATAAATATCGATATTAACAATTTGCATGTGAATAGTGTTTTCGTTGAAGAGGTGTCGATTTTTAATGTTTTTTTTATTAGCTAAACACCAATGCTGAATCTGTTTAGATATGTTTCATAAAGCTATTGAAATAGGGCAAAGACGAGATAACAGAATATGCTAAATTATCTCTGATTAAGTTAATGGCTCAAAAATTTGATCCCAAAATATTACACATACCAATCGGAATATATAGCACACAGCACAGCTATATAAAATATAGCTTACTGTATAATACATTGGATAGCTGTATAATGGATAAGCTTGCATGGAAACGCCTAGTAGAGGAGTTCAACAAATCTAAATAACTGTGCCACTCTAGCTTACGCTTCAGTGGGCGTGATTGTATATCAAAGAGTTAACGTAAAGCTGTTTTAGCCCAGATCTTTCAGCGCTGTATGAGTATGAGATCAAATATATATACTTTATACATATGTAAGCTTAAAAAGAGTTTCAATGCCAAACGATTGTACCTATAGAAAGTAGTTCAAAATAATTTTTGTAACATTTGGAAATCGACCGAAAAATGCCAAGTTACAGTCAAGTAGAGGTCGAGTGAGTTCAGTGAGTGGAGTTCTTAAGAGTTTATGAATTTTTTCTTAATTGTATTTTCTTTTTAAATAAAAACAGATTTGTCATAATACTACAATAAATTTGCTTCCCCTAAGATATATCTCTAATCTAATTATTAATTTCGTTTCTTGTCAAGCGCCCCGAGTAGTAATCCTCGGCACTTGCACAGCGTCGCAGCAAAGTCCCTGAGCCATCAAGCTGATGTCAGATGCGTGGATGCGTGTAATCCTAATTCGCGAGAGCTGAGCGACTGACAGGGGCCATTTGGGGTATTTGGGGCATTTGTTGTGGGGCTTGTCGTGCTCTTAGATTTATTATTTATAATCGAATACAAGCGCCATTGAGAGACTGCTAAAGTTTTTAATCAAAATCCAAATGCATAATTAATTTGCTGAGCGGGCGGGCGGCTTTTGACTTTCAGTTTTTGACTCTCGCTTCTCGCCTCTCGCCTCTCGGCTCTCGGCTTTTGGCTCTCAGTTTTCAGCCTTGGCATGCCGCGCTTTTAATTACGCACAACTTACTTAATTTCGTTAATTATTGGACTATGAATGGCAGTGGGTATCGAAAAGTCTCGGTTTTCTTAAGTTTCTGCTTTTGGCCAGCGGTTTTAGCCAATTTTCTAGTTTGCATTGAACTTAAAATGCAACTGAAACTCCATATTAAGCCCAACTAAATGGCGAACTCGAACTAGAAAACTGAACAATCGACAGCGGTTTGAGGACGGTAGTATTCACGCTAGAGATACCCTGTTTTCCGATAACTGCAATCGATAAGTATCGATTATGCATATGCATTATATGTATATCGATGTATAGTTTATAGTAGATATTTGGAGTTTGACACTTTTATAGATACTATATACTGCCTTGTTCCTAGATCGATAATTATCGATTATCGAATAGTAATTCATAGCATATCGATTGCATCTCTTATCAGTCTTGTTAGAACATAGTGTAAGGCCACTTCGAATATGCTCTGCAATCAACTTTGCACACTCTTATACAGCCCACCATTTTTGTCTATCTAATTACAGGGTATGCAGCTAGAATGTGGCCGCTGTTAGATACGCCTCAATTTTGTTATGGCTTCAAATCAAAATCAAAATCAAAATTAAAAATCCGGTGGCCGTCAGGCAACGTGTCACCGGGCTGCACATTCAATCATAAAGCTATAATTATGACAGCCTCAAATCTAATGCAACGAATTGCAAATGCACTAAAAATGCATATGAAAGTGATTCATTGAAGAGATACATATATAATGCAACTAACTATGTGAACCTGAAGCTTGAAAAGTCAGTGTATATTATGTAGAACATTGACATGTTAAAGGAGAATGCTATTATAGGTTTAGATAGCGATCTAGTTTCAGAGCGAACTTAAGTGGTAAACTGGTATTGCTAATGATATAGCGAACTTGCTTAGTTAGCAGCAGTGCATATAAGCATTGGCCGTAACTAAAATGGATTGAATCGGGCGTGACAGACTAGAAGGTGCTCTGTATAAAGAAAAAAGATGTTTTTAATGCTATGAGTATCGATGCAAAGTCGGATAGATGGATAGATTGATAGATTTATAGATGTATATATTGATAGATATATAGATGTATAGATGCATAGATGCATGGAAGCATAGATGTATGTATGTATAGATGTAGAGATGTATAAATGTGAAGATGGATAGAAGTATAGATAAATAGATGCAAAGATGTAAAGATGTAGAGATGTAAAAATGGATTAATGTAGAGATAAATAGATGCACTGATGTAGAGACATATGTATTTACATACCTACATACATAGAGAAATAGGCTGTGCAGATGTATTGTATTAGAAATTTCTCACAGTAATCTCGTATTTATCTCGTATATAGATACCTAGAAATATTTACTCTTCTATAGCAAATACCTATCAGAAAAATTTGGTTGTCGGGTAAGCCTTCTAGTCTGCGGCAACATGAGGCAGAATTAATAATGATTGACACAATTACAATGATGAATTGTTTTACAGGGTATAGCGACAACAGTGAGAAACGAGTGTGAGAAAGGCGCAAGCGCTCACGATGTGCTTTGCTCAGCTGTGTGCAACGCAGCGTTGCAAGTTTCAAGGGCAGCTGGGAGATGTTGCAAAAGTGCAGCGGGCGTAGGTAAGTCTAGCCGAGGAGCCTACAGACCGGGAGAGAGAGAGACAGAGGGAGAGGCGCATACAGTCAAGTGTTGCATGACTCGTGCTTTAGGCACTTGTGGTCAATGTCAATACGTTTGCTGTTGCAGTAGCGCCGGCTTTGCCATTTGCCATTTGCACATTCAAATGATCTCCCTCTCTCTCTCTCTCTCTTAGCTTGGCGCTAGGCTAGGGCTGGGGGCAGACAAAGTTCAAGCAACAAGTTCAATTGATGTCGTTAGCCAGGTAACAAAAACAATAACAATAATTATAGACATAAACATAAATAAAACATTAACATTAACTGGAAACTGTCGCTGAAACGAGGAGCCTAAACAAAATCCAAAACTTAAACAGAACTAGAACCAGTTTCACCTAAGCCGCAAGCCATGGCAACAGAACAAATGAGTCAACCCTCAGTTCCAACGAACGCGGCATGGCGAAACCCGAAGCCGAGGCCGATGCCGAAGTCGAAGCCGAAGCCGAAGCTGCACGGCGAGTTTGACGAAGAGAGCGACGGCGAAGTGAACGTCGATTATGATGGCGAAGATGAGGAGGAAGAGCGGCGGCAGCGGCAAAGACGAAAGCGACGGAGGAGAGCAGCAGACAAAGTCGTTGGCGACGGCGATGGCAGCAGAGGCAGAGGAAAAGGCGAACGCATTGAACTTGTTAGCGATCGGCTTTGTTGTCAGTTATAAACTAAACGCAAGACGAAACGGTTCGTCAATTGAGCTGTCGCTAAGCAAGTGCAAGAGCTCTGTAAACAACAGTTGTTGCATCTTTGTTTTGAATTTTATTTTATTTTATTTTTTTTTTTTTGGTTTTCTGTTGTTGTTTTCTTTCGTTTCTTGTGCGTTTATTAGGTCTGTTCTAAGTCAAAAGCATGACAATTTATGGCCTGTTGGTGCAAATCATAATTATCTGCAATTAGCATACAGCAAATGCAACGGCAACTGCAACGGTAACTGCCACTGTAACTGTAACTGAAGCAAACGCAACGCAACGAAACGTAACGTAAAGCAACGTAGCTTTCATAGAATGGCGCCGCCCGCTGAGCAGCCGGAGGATGATTTTGCCACCAAGGTGAGTGTGCAAAGGATTTGTAGTATTGAATTCCGTTTCAGGTGCAAACTGCGCAGCCCGCGCAGCAATTAACGTCGAGCTGTTAACCACAAATTTGTGGATCGTGGCCAATTAGCAGCCTTGTCCGTGGCACACGGTCAAGGCGGCTAAAAAAAAAACACACACACACACACGCACAAAACTATGTATATACATATATAGACAAAAATAACAAAAATTTGATTTATATTGTTTTCTATCAGAGGCTAAATTAACATAATATGATCGATGGGCTTGACTTGAGATAAATGCAAACGGGGGAAAAAAAAAAAAAAACACAATAAATTGTACCGGAAATATTTTGCGTATTGCTTTGCTTCTGCTTCTTCCGCGGTTTTCTTTCAGACAGTATTACTATTATAGTATTAGTTATATTGTATTTATTGTTTATTGCATATATTATAGATCTCTGTCCGTTTTGCCAATGCGCTTTTAATCTTGCTTCGATTTGAATTTAGTTATGCAGCTGCACAAGTCTTTATCAGATGATCGCTAATTGAACCGTACTTTCCCACATATGCGACTATATGCATATGTGAATATATCTCAGCATTATATGTGGTCATATATTCATAAGTTCACATGATCGCGATCTGCCTTTTTCCTGATTCAGCTAAAGAGCTTTTTTATACAGTTCAATTTTTGGATGCTGTTTGTGCGAATTCTTCCGTATATTATAGACTAGATGTTTATGTGGCATATATGTATGTATATACTTTTATAGGCTAGTATGCAAATTTGGTAAAAACAGATCAGAATCTAGTTCGAGACGGTGACGATGAAATGCTTAAGATTGACGTAGGTGTATTTCCTTATAGAGGCATTCACAAACATATATTAAATATATCGATGAAGACTTGTTTACCTTATTCTATATGAGCACCTAGAGAAATTTTTTTTTATGGCAACATTTTTAAAGTCTGATGGCACAGTTATAGCTGAAGGCCCACATATTAGTATAAATTGAAAATAAAGCCAAAAATGTGCTTGATAGGAAACTCTAGATAGATCTATATAGTCTAAAAAGAAGCAAAAAAAAAAACAGAAAACAATATACGACAAATTGAAAATATATAAGCAAATAAAAATGTATAAAAAGTTATTTAAATATAAATGGCAAAAAAAGTAAAAATTTGTAAATGTAAAAAAGTTGAATTGAACAAAAAAAGTATATGTATATATATATGTATATACGAGTTTTTGAGTTAATGCCAATTAACTTATTAAACTCTTGTCAGACTTTTAATTAAAAATGAAAATAAAGCAAACGATTTATTGAATTGCTTTTGACATGAGCTTTAGCTGATAGTTATTTAAAATGAAAACATTTGAGCTTAAATGAAAAAATTAAATGCACAAAATTTGAAGTGAAAACGAAATGCAAATGGCAAAACATCAATTTCAATTTGCTAGTTTGGCTTACACATATTTGGCCAAAACGCTGCGGCCAATGGGCGTTACTAATTAAATATCAATAATTGCTATGTTCGCTGCCCCAAATGGGATTTGGGCAATGTTTTGCAATGTAATTATGAATATGTATGTGTGTGCATAATTATCTCTGACTATCTCTCTCTCTCTCTCTCTCTCTCTCTCTCTCTCTCTCTCTCTCTTTCTCTCTACTAGCCTGGACCAGTCTCTAATGCGTAGTTCTAATTATAAAACATTCTTTACAAGACATCAAATATATTATATATTGATCTATTTTTAGCTCTGATCGTATCTTACTCTCGTAGCTCACTCTTTGTGTCTCTCTTCTCCCTCTCCTCCTCCTCCTCCCACTAAAATAACCAAGACAAATTTATTCTTATATGATTAGCTTTGGCCTGTGGTCTCTCAAGAGAGTTGAAGGAGAAAGAAAGAAAGAGAAGACATCTGTCCATGCCTCTCCCTCTCTCTCTCTCTCTCTTTATCTCTATCTATCTCTCCCTCTCTCTCTGTCCCCTCTCGCTCTGTCTATATGCACTCTTTATTCCTTTCTCTTTTCCCTTTTCTAAGCCCTATTCAGATCTCTAACTCCAATTAGTTCTGTTCATATTTCCTTATCTCCCTCTCTCTTGCTATTCCTCTCTGCTAAGCTTAACCAGTCTTTAGTATCTCGCAAATAGATCAAAGTCCTATTTTTAAAGTGTTTGTTGCAAAACCTAAACCATTTATCTGTATAGCCAATTAGCTCTGCCTTAGTGTCCATTTCCCTCTCTCTCCCTGTCTCTCTCTCTCTCTCTCTCTCTCTCTCTCTTCTAAACGAATCTGTGATACATGTAGAGAATATATTTCAGCCCTGTTTGTCTTGGCCAGCATCTGTTGCTTTCGTGCATCTGTATCTCTGGCTATACGCTCTAGTATCTAAATTATAATTGCGCTCAGCGTTGCGGAACAGACTCAACACGTAAATCGTTAAAAATCGCAAGTCACAATTACTTTACAAACGACAGCACCAAAAACACCGAAAGATACAAATTGGAGTTCTTCTAGATTTATTTTTTGTGGGATTTTTCTCTTTCCTCGTATTTTGCTTAGTTCTTATGCCGTGTGCGTGGCAGTGCTTGTTCTTCTTCTTCTTATATTCATTTCTGTTTCTCCGCTTCCGCGTTCGTCTTGATGAGGGGCCCGAAATCGTTTTACAATACAACCAGAAATACTAATAAAGCCGCCGATCAATGGCCCCAAAAAACCAAACAAAAATTAAAATTAAAACAATATGAACAATTTGAATGGAAGTCAGGAAATAACGAGGTAGATTCGGCATGGAAATACCTCTTGAATGTATGTTATATTATATGTATGTTATGTAAGTTAACATATGTTATTCACATATATCATATCACATATGTCACATATGTATGCCATATATCTACTGTAAACTGATGCGATGTGGCTTAGTTAAGAAAACTTAGGACAAACGAAAAGTTTCCATAACGAATAAAAAGTAACTCAATTTTTTGCCTTATGATTGATACATGAGGCGCCTGTTATAATAATGCGATATGAATAAGAGAAAGCAATTTCTAGATAAAGAAATTGATCTAGAATTGATTCTAGATAAAGAATTGATCTAATTCAGATCCATGATTATATCTAGAAGAGTGTGACAATTGCTTTTGGTATAGTTTAAAGTTGCAAGTAATTCTCTTTAGCTCTATTTATAATCTGTAGTTGCAAATGAAACTAGAAATGACGTCACATATGTCTATAAAAGCAATGGGAACTCGACAACTCCGTGTTTATGGCTGGAGTTAAACCCATTAAGATTCAACAGTAATTAAATAATTTTGAGATAATTTTACTTTTTTCAGTTGCAGATGAGAGTCTTAGTTAACTAGAAGAGAAGTGTCTAAGCATAACTTAAAAGACCCAAACATTTATCAATGCTGGCAGATCGGAGCAGCTATCCCAAGCTAAATTGATTTTTAGATGATGAGGTATTTTGGGGACCTGATACTTGAGATGTGCTTATATAATTATAGTTTGATATAATCTGTGACTACAGTTCACAATTTTTGTGGTTTAGACGGAATAGAAGTCAGACTGATAGATAGTCGGACGGACAGACAGAGTCAGATTCATCAGACAGAGTGATAGACAGACAGACAGACAGGCAGTCCGAATGGTAGGCAAACGGCCGGATAGACAGTCCGAGTGGCAGAAAGACGGAGGCACGGATAGTCCGAATAATAGACAGACGGACGGATAGTTAGTCCGAGAGGTAGACAGACGGACGACAGATAGCCAGATTTATCAGTTATCTGTCTGTAGACAAACGGACGGACAGGCAGTCCGAGTGGAAAAAGACGGACGGACGGACAGGCAGTGCGAGTGGCAGAAAGACGGACGCACGGATAGTCTGAATAATAGACAGACCGACAGAAAGATAGCCAGATCTATCAGTTATCTGTTAAATATATGTAAACAGACGGACGGACAGGCAGTCCGAGTGGTAGACAGACGGACGACAGACAGTTTTATTAGTTATCTGTTAAATATCCGTAGACAGACCGACGAACAGAGGGATGGCTAGCCGGAAAGGTAAACGAACGGAGCCTGCTTCACTTGGTTGTTAATCATGTCCAGGAATATATATGTACATATATTCAGTCTATCGTATTCCGTATTTGGGCAGCAATAGAGTTGCCCAAATGATCGTCATCAATTCGCTCAGGGTATATGCTCAGTTGACTTTTTCCAGACGAACTCTAGGGTATTCAAATAAAAGCCGAGCTCGCATCTGTCCGCTGTGTAATTCATTCGGAGCTCTGCGCATGAGCAGCCGAGAGCTGGGGCAGCATCTCATGCGAGCGCAGAGCTGCGATTCGAGACGTGTTTAAGCAACATTTTATTGCTGTTGCTTTTGTCTGTTGACTGTTGCTTGTTGTTGTTGCCTGTTGTTGTTGTTGTTGTTGTTGCTGTTGCTGTTACTGTTTGTCTGATTGAGCGGCATTGGAGGTCAAGTTCAGGGAATACCGCACTGCTTAGCGAGACTTTATGTATTTTTAACGATTTTCTTTTCTTTATGACTTGGAAGTCCGTATATTTAATATGTGAAATATATCATAAAGCAGATACTTAATTTAGTTACTAATTACAATTACGAGCTGTAACTCTGGCTTTAATTTGTTTTGTTGAGTTAATTTTAATGCAATTTCAATTCAATTTAAGATTACTTCTGAGGCGACTAATCGCAATTACTATAATGAAAACTGTATTTTTATCTTAATTCCCAGCTTTATGATTACTTTACTTAAATACAGTATAGAATATGTGAAGAAAGGGGGAAAGTGCAGGATTCTATTATATGACCATATATATATGTCTAATATGTATCTCTACATATACAGTGAGTAACATTAAAATTCGGATCTTTTATTTTTTATTAATATTATATGTTTTATAGGCGCCTGAAGTTGAAAAAAATAAGCAAATAAATAAAATGAATAAATAAATAATATTAATGTTACTCACTGTATATAAATAATGGCTGATGAAATAAGAGCTTAAAAGACTTATTTAATGAAATGAAATCACATCAATCTCTATCCTTTATTCTCTCTTCTGTATCTTATATTCTCTATTACCTTTTCCCGCTTTTCCTCTATTCCCTCTCGTCTCTCCATCTCCTCTATTCTCTCTCCCTCCTCCTCCTCCTCTACCATCTATCCTCACCCCACTCTCCCCTCTTCTGTATCTTCTCTCTTCCATCTTCTCTCCTCGTTTCTCTCTCCTCTATCTTTTATTCATCATCCTCTACTCTCTATCCTCTCTCGCCTCTCCTCTAGTTAGTGTTCTCTTTCATCTGTCTATCCTATAACTCTGTATCTATATCATAATCATATCCGTTACATGTTATATATCGATAACAAATTCGATTTGCTTATTATCGATACTTCTCAAGGACTTCTCAAGGACTCTAAAATCTAGCGATACCTAATTTAGAAACTGTTTTACTCTGGTAGATAGACAGACTCTCCATATTTCATACATATCTCATCACATTCTACCTTATCCAGCCGTTCGTAGCCCACTAGGGACACCCTAACCTTAACCTCGTTAGCCTCATTTCCATACACTTACCACAATCTGGTTAAAAATTGAATTTTCAAATATTTGCAATAAAAATAAATAAATAAAGCTAAATGCTCCATTTATTGCTGGCATACGTTCACACAGTGACATATTTCGGCTACATATATATTTTCTATTATTATTACTATTATTATTATTTATTTTCGTTTTATTGGCTGTGCGCGGTGCGAGATGTCGCTCGTTGGCCAGGGCCGCAAAGGCAAATAAATTAATTTGATTTATGCTAATTAGTTTGCTTGTGCGTGTGCTTTGTTAATATGTTTTAATATTTATATACATATATATATATATATATATATATTTATATATGATTGTTGTTGTTTCTCTTTTCATGATGTTGCTGCTAATTGCAGATACCTTCAATAATTGGATTCTTGAACTTGGACTAATTGGCAATTGAAGTTTTGGTTTCTTCTCTCTCTTAACTTTTTTTTTTTTTTTTTTTGCCACCAAGGACGTGCCTCAACGCAAAACGAATCAATTAATTAAGGCTGATTATGGGCGCAGTATACACACACACACACACACACACACACTGATACTTTTTTGTAGAATAAATGTAATACATTAATTAAACAAGTGTTTGCGTTTTATTATTCATGAAAAACCAAATGAAGTGGCCAGCGCAGTGACTGTCAAACTGCGAGCGAATTTTCAGCAGCGCCTAAAAGCATGCAATAAATTTTTGTTGCTCGACTTCTTCTCAAAGGAGAAAGAAAATGCACGGATTAAATGATGAATGTGCTTTCGTTCATCGATACGCATCGATGCGGCCTATCGAAGCTGGGACAATAAAATATTTAAAAAGAATAGCAACAAAATGACATATTCACACACATATTCACATATTATTTATATTTATTTATTAGAGAATTGTGTGTTTAAATTGAAATGTGAAAACGTAAACGTATATTTTATGTAAAATGTAATGATGAGGGGCAGCACACACAAATATGTAAAGCCGAGCGACAATCAACATTTTGTTTGTGTCGCTACCCTTAGGCCGGCAAGTGAGTGTGCGGGTGCAAGTCAGCTGCAGGAACCCTAAACAGCAACAACAGCAACAGTCACAAGAACCCAGAAAAACAAAAAAAAAAAAAAAAAAAAAAAAAAAAATAAACACAGAAATTAATAAATTAATAAATAAATACATATACAAATAGAAGGAAAACTATATTTACAAAAACAACAAAACACGAGCTGTAAAAACTTACCGTTCAAACTTGCAGCGCAGTGGAAGAAGAAGAAGAAGAATAGCAATAAGAAGAAGAAGCAGGAGCCGAGCCGAGCTGTCACAGGCAGAAGAAGAAGCAGCAGCAGCACAGCTGAAGTGCGAGTGAGAGGACAACATTAACAGCGCACGGTGCACGGGCACTGGTGCAAGGGAGAGGCCAGTCACGCAGCAGCAGCGCCACAGCCTACAGCCTACAGCCTACGGACTGAGCAGGAGTTTGAGAATTGGACACAGTCGTCGAGGTACTCTTTCCTGAGGCGGAGGAAATGTATTCGGCTGTGAAGCCATTGTCCAAGTATTTACAATTCAAATCGATACGCATCTACGATGCCGTCTTCACCATTCACTCCAAGTGCACGGTGGTAATCCTGCTGACGTGCTCCCTGCTGCTGTCGGCCCGTCAGTATTTCGGGGATCCGATACAGTGCATCAGCGAGGAGAAGAACATTAACTATGTGCAGTCCTATTGCTGGACGATGGGCACCTACATCATCAAGGTGGACAACTCCACCGATCCCCGTCAGCTGCTGCCGACGCCGCCAACCAGCCGTGCCGGACGCGGCCGGGTCAGCCTGCGTCGCCTGGCCGACTACAATGAGGAGTACGCGCGGGCGATATCGATAGCCGAGGGCGTCGGGCCCGAGGTGCGCGGCCAGACGCAGCGCGTCTATTTGCGCTACTATCAGTGGGTGATCATCCTGCTGCTGTTCCAATCGTTCATCTTCTACTTCCCGTCGTGCCTGTGGAAGGTGTGGGAGGGCCAGCGACTGAAGCAGCTCTGCTCGGAGGTGGGCGAGGCGCTGCTCTCGGAGCAGACGTACAACACGCGCCTCCGACTGCTGGTGAAGTACTTTACCACCGACTATGAGGACATGCACTACTGCTACATGGCCAAGTATGTCTTCTGCGAGATCCTCAACTTTGTGATCAGCGTGAGTAGCCGGGATGAGCGAGCTGAGCGAGCTGCGGTTGACTCCACTTTTCGCTCTACCATTTCAGATACTCAACATCCTGGCGCTGGAGGTGTTCCTCAATGGATTCTGGAGCAAATATCTGCATGCGCTGGCCACGATACCGCTGTACGACTGGGATCGCTGGAATCACATCTCGTCGCGGGTCTTCCCCAAGATCGCCAAGTGCGAGGTGCTGAAATATGGGGCCAGCGGTACGGCCAGCATCATGGACAATCTATGCATACTGCCGCTGAACATACTGAACGAGAAGATCTTCGTGTGCCTCTGGTGCTGGTTCCTGCTGATGGCCTTCATGTCCGGCCTGAATCTGCTCTGTCGCCTGGCCATGATGCTCAGCCGGACGCTGCGCGAGCTGATGATACGCAGCCAATTGCGCTATATGACCAAACAGCATGTGCAGCACGTCTTCAGGGATCTGACCATCGGCGATTGGTTCCTTCTGATGAAGGTCAGCGTCAATGTCAATCCGATGCTCTTTCGCGACCTCATGGACGAGCTGTGCGAGCTGCGCAGCATCCGCAGCTCCACCTCATCCCTCACGCTGCTCGAGAGTCCCGCCTAGTCGCTGTTGCCTGCTTCACTTAACAAGCAAACATACATACATACATACATACAAACATACATACATACATACATACATACATACATACATTAAATTCTTTCAGATTCCAGCAATCCTCAATTGTTAACCATCCAACTCTGTGCATAGTTTGTTTATGTATGAGGCGTATATATGTATGTATACATATATACTCGTATGTGTATGTATATATATACATATATACATTTAGTTGTCTACATACGTATGTGTCTATATAGTTTTTACATTATAGATCAAATGAGTGGTATGCGCAAATATATATAGATATATGTATGTATATATATATATTTCATATTCTATTAAAATTGTCGATCTTTTGATTTTTGGTTGGTAGACTTATCGATTTTTATCGATACATTAGCTTGGCAAGTTTTGTGACGATTACTAAAACATGCGGGTAAGATGAGAAGGAGTCTCTCTACTCCACGGTGGAGCGAGAAGTACGAGATGCTCGTGCCCGAAAGATTGAAGCTATCGGAGCTAACCACAAAACCTAGAAACGCTAGGGATGTAAGTTGATCATAATTGAAATAAAGCCTAAGGGTTTCCATGCTAAAACAATATTTGACCTGATTTTGCATTATAGTTTCACAAACATACATATGTAAATTGTCTAAAGGTATGTAGGACTATATAGAAATACATATAAGCTAAGAGTCGCTTTACAATAAATAAAACTGTATCTGGTCATACGATCAAATAGCTCTTAGATTGATTTCAGAAGAGCTAAGATTGAGTGATTTTACATACATACATACATGCATATGTATGTATATTTATATATTTTCTGAATAAATACATACATATATAATCTATATAATTTACATGTTAAATAACATTTTTGTTTTCAATTATTTTACAATTTAAAAAAGTTTGCTCAATATTTTAATACATTTATTTACAATTTATAATATGCAATGTAAAATATCTGCGTTTTTATTACAGTAAAGATTTCAGTTAGCACTGCAGTAGCAACAAATCAACTCAAATGCTAAGCAAGCTGCACACTTGCGCTGCGGCTCTGTTTTTCTCTCACTCTCTCCTTTGTACTTCTGGCACTGAAACGCGCTCTATTGACAAACGCATGCCCACTTGCCTACACACGCACACACACACATACGCTTGCGCGTAGCACGTGCATAAGTCGCGCGCGTTTTGCCAGCGTTTTTCTTAGCTTCTGCTGTTTACTTCTGTTGCTGTTGTTGTTTTTCGCAGTCTGCTTTTCGCTAGTCGTTTTCGCTTTGCGCTTCTGCCATACACATTTTAATGTGCATTACTTATACACTAAGTAGTTGTTGCTGCTGCTGCTGCTGTTGCTATAATTTCGTCATTTATATTTTGTGTCTGTGCCTTGTTTCGTTCGCTCTTCGCCTTCGCTGCCTTAGACGCTGCAGCTGTAGCTTTTGTTTCGCGCACGTTAACAGCGCGGCTCGCTGCCTGCGTTAAGCACGCACACACACACACACACACACACACGTACACGCATGCACACACACTAAATGTAAATATTATTCAAAAGTCATCGTGTGGTCGTCGTCGTCGTCTTTTTTTGCGGGGGCTCCGCTTGATGAGGGGTGCGACCGTTCTGCCGCTGTCTCTGCCGGCGTTTTTGTTGTTGTTTTTGTTTTCTTTTATTTTTCAGTTTGTCAGTTTCTTTAGCTTTGGTTACATCTATTTTGTGCTTATTGTTTGTGTTTTGGTTTTCATTTTGATTTTGGATTTTGGATTTCGTGCGACTGCCATTTGGGCTAGCTTTAGTCGGTTAGTCAGTCGTGTGTCAACCGGGAAGCCGCCAAGTGGGCCCCATCGGCACCGTCACCGTTGCCGCCACCGCCAGCGTCGCTGTTTAACTGTTAATGTCGCTGCTTTGATTTCGTTTTCAGATGCAGAGCGCGCGGTTTCAACATTTCCAGCAGAGCTAACTTCAGTGGCATTTAATTAAAACGCGTACGTGACGCGCGCGACATTTGTGAACTGTGAACTGCAATTGGAAATTGCAATTGTCAATTCGCGCTAACCGTTAACAACGGCCATGCCGTTAGTATCTTGAGTGCCAAATGAGTAAGCGTTGCAAGCTAATGCGGTTGGCTAACACAAAAACAAATCAAGTGTCCAACATCAATTTAAATCTAACAATACACACACAATGCTCACCCACACAGAGAGTGAGTGAGAGAGATATACACATACACTCGCACATGACGTAAGGGTACACGGCGATAGACGGCAATAACCGTAGGCATTGATAAACACCAGCAAAGTGTAAAAAAGCATTAACAGCGCCACGGCACAGTGGTCGACATGCCATTTGTTATACAAGAATTTTGCGGTGAAAGCTTAAGTATAGCATTCAATCAGTTAAGCTTTAAGCTATCGCCGCTGTCACACACATCGCGGCGAAAGCGTTTTCAACTCATTCCCTTTATTCATTTAGCCTTTTGTTAAACGAGTTTCTAATGTTCGGAGCAGAATTTAGCATATCAAACAATGCGAGGCCTGATCGAAGCCAAATTGAAACTGGTATTTCATAGCTAGACAATACCATTTTAATATACATACATATTTGCAAATTTCTATAAATAAAGAAAGCATATTTTTTTCTCTTTTTTTTTATTGGTGCTTATTGAGTCCGTGTGGGTGATATAATATTCGGAATGCTATTTTAATGTATAATAAAATGTGAAAAACAAATTCTTCAGATTTTATTGTAGAGAAGTTCTGAGTAAAAAGCTAAAAATAAAAATAATGAGTAAAAGATGTAAGCATA